ATTAGACATCAAAGTTTGAAATGAGATTGGTGAGTTAGTAAGTCCAAAAGGCATACGTTTCCATTCATAAACTCCACCTTGGGTTATGAATGCTGCCTTTTGCCTACTATCCTCATCAAGCTCCATTTGCCAGAATCCAGACTTCAAATCTAAATTGGTGAAATAATTGGCTTTGGCTTCCCCAATAGCATCAAAAACTGTCTCTAAATGAGGAAGTGGGAAGGACATCGGCACAGTAATTTTGTTAAGGGCTCGATAATCGCAAGCAAACCGAAACTGACCATTCTTTTTCTTTACTAAAACCACTGGCGAATGCCATTCTGAATTTGAAGGTTGAATAATATCATGTTTCAACATTTCTGACACTTGTTTTTCAATTTCTTTAGACGCTTGTGGGGATGTTCTATAGAATTGAAGCCGAACAGGTTTTGAATTTGGTTTAATTTCAATTTTGTGTTTGTGAGCACTCGTCCGTCCCAATTCACTCAGATCAAGAGCAAAGTTTTCTCTGTATCTTGATAAGAATTTCAGCAAAATTTCTTTTTGATTCGATTCTAAATCAGAATTTTCTAAATCAAACTGAATTTCATTTTGAGATTTTACTTGGGTTTCTGGTTTGTCTGGATTCAAAGCACTTGCATGTTTAGTCTCACTCTCTAACGACAAAATACTTTCATGATCTATGTCAATCACATTAGCTACGACAAAATTAATAGGTAATTCAACATCTTCAAAAGTGGGGTTAATCACTCTAAGAAAAGCACGACTACAGTCTACCTGTACACAACATCTAGCAGCTGAAAGATTAAGAGTTTCTAAATCTTTGTGAGGTTCTAACAAAACCAGGTCACCATTTTGATGGCGAGAAATATGCACTGAAATATTCATTTCACACCTCTGGGGAATAGTAACAGGGTATTTTGCCCTAGCATAACCATTTTCAGTGGTTATCACACAAACATTGTTCTCATCATACCTGTCAGGGATATGTAAAGTATTTGAAGTTGAAAACCTTAGCACTGTGTCATGAGCACACAAAAAGTCTACACCTAAGATAAATGCATGATGAATGCCATCTACCACATGAGTTTTGAATTTGTATTCCTGGCCATTAATAAAAATTTCTAACATTATCTGGCCTAAAACTGGGAGTAATTTTCCACTAGCACCTTTAACAGACTGAAATGTGGGAGGGAGCAATTGCTGTTTTGCATACTTAGTTTTTGTTAAAAATTCTTTGTTAATAATGGTAACAGAGGCACCCGAGTCAATTAAAGCACTTGTATTACGACCACCCACCCAAATAGGGATTGTGTTTTTGGTCATGTGAGCAACTAAATTCACCTGTGGGATAGAATTTGTGTGTTGCCTATCTTCAGAATGGCTTCCAAAGACAGGCACGCACCCCTATTGTTGTGACATGTACGCATCGTGATTGTAAGATGTCTGTGGGTAAGATGACTGTGATGGGTGTGTGTATTGTGAATTGTACTGAGACTGTCTTTGTGGGCAATTTTTCTTTAAATGACCTAATTCTCTACAATAAAAACACCTAATCAATGAAACATCGTTAGAGACAGAATCACAAAACTTACCCTTATTGTTGTAAGGCTGGGGTGGTCGATTGTATCCAGGCTGGGGGCCAGGAGGCGGTGGTGGTTGCTGCCATTGGGTTGGTGGTTGCTGGTGCCATGGGGGTGACTGCTGATAGGCCTGGGGAGGTGGTGGTCTGTATCCTTGCTGTGGCTTTGGCTTTCCAGGGCGCCGGGACTGCTGAGGGGAAAACTTCGTCTGGTTAGCTTTCATGTCATCTCTGATTTCCTGCAATGCATTTAAAAGAGCAAGGTTAGTGTTCTCCTGCAGGGCAGGAGAGTTGGTCCGGCGTCTCTCGGCAACTTCAGCTCGGGCGGCCACATTTCTTAGCTCCTCCAGGGATTTGGGGTCCACTTTGATCACATCGGCTCCAATGTCTGGTTTCAGGCCATTCATGATTACCGTGATTAACCAATCCTGGTCCACTCGTCTATCGGTAGTCATCTGAGTTACCCGATGTATAAAATCCTCCACCGATTCAGTTTGTTTTTGTTTCACATCCATCAGTTGCAGATTATTTCTGGAGGATGGTTGGAAGCGTTGGTGGATGGCTTCCTTGATGGTGGAAAGAGAATGTTTAAATGCCTCGTCAAGCGAAAAGAACCATGATTCCGCGGCTCCGGCTAGATAAAATGGTAACGTCTCGATGGCCATTTTCTCTGTCAGGCGTTGGAGATTTATGAATGTGATGAACTTAAGCCACCACTGAATGATGGACGTCTTTCCATCATACTTGTCTAACTTTACTTTGGGCGTAGCATGAGACATGGTTGTGGGTAGTGGTCTGGAGCTTCCTCGTCGTAGTTGCTCTTGGAGGTTCTCGATCTCCTCCTCCCTCGCTTGAATTTGTCTCGACTCTCGTCTACGTATTTCCATTTCTCTACGTTGGAATTCTTCATTCTTCTCCTGAAGGGCTGCTATCTCTTTCTCCCTTTCCTGTAATGCCTTTCTCATTTGTTCCAACTCTGTGGTCTCGTTTTCCACTGGTGACTCTCGTCCTCCATTGGATGGTGTTGGCATCTTGGTGCTCCTTTTTCTTAGGTTGTAGTTCATAAAATCCAGGTTTTGGATCTACCCGGATTCTCCACCAGTTATCGTGTCGTGTTTTTGAACGATTTGAATAGTTGGGGAACTTGACTCGCTGGCAGTGTAGAGGACCCTCAATGACGTAATGTCCAGTCCAAATAGGTTTGGGACGATTACTGAAATTAGACACAGGGAAGCGCTAAGTAAAATATACTGCTTTATTCAGGTCTCCGATAAGAATGAACAAAATATATATATAGTCACCAGGTACAATAAAAATCCTATTTCTATCTGCATAACGCATTACAAATGTTGGTGCCCTAACTTACTTAACACTGGTGACTAATAGAGTGATTAAACAATATAAAAATACTCACTCTATTTAAAAATCGAAACAAAGTCATTTAACTAAATAAGTAGTGAAGGTAAACATTGCCTCAGGAAATTCGAACTGACAAAATGTAAACAAGTTTAAGTTAACATTATCAATATAAGTAACTTTAAACCGAAATAAGAAGAATTATAAACATCATAATTTTATCTAACCATTCCTACTACTTGATCAATCAAAGAAATACTTCGTAAAAACTTACAATATAAAAGTTACTCGCCGCATGGTTTTGTTTGTTCAACATTGTGCAAAGTGAAAACCAGTTTAATCAACAGTAAAACCCAAAACCTAGACTGAACTAATTATTTCCGAACTTTGCTGATTTTAACAAAAATAATTGAAACAAATAATATTAATCCATGTATAATAGTGGATATTGCATGAGAACTAGTTTTATAGAAAGTTTAAACAATAAAAACCTTAAAACTGCATGACTGGGTTTTGTGTAATTAATTATTTCAAATCGAATTTTACTTTAAATGAAAGCTCAAATTTCCATAAAACAAAATCAAATAGTTTAGGAAACTTTTACAAAACAGAATAATAACTTGCAATTAATTTTAAAAGAAAAAAAAAAGATATATAAACCATTTTACCTGAAATTAGACACAGGGAAGCGCTAAGTAAAATATACTGCTTTATTCAGGTCTCCGATAAGAATGACCGAAAAAGGGTACGCAATCTAAATCGGAGACCCGGGCTTCCCTGGTCAATTTCGGCCAATCAAAATTTAGTTTCTTTGTTCTCAAATAGTTTCATTAATTGAAATCGCTATTGAGTAGATCACGTGACCGAGATCTCCGGACACTGACCATTATCAATTAATTGACTCTAACACGGGTAATCCCCTAACAAAGAAAAAATCTACTGACACCTGAGTATATCTTGACTTTGACTCTAGGTAAAAAAAGATGAAAGGAACCCCTAAAGGACAATTGCAAACAACGTAACACCTATCTGCAAATTTGCTTGACCCTCTGAATAACAAATTACATCATAGTACATTTTTGTGCTTTTGTTACAAAACATATCTAACAGATGGAGTTTTTATAAGTAAATTGACCAGATTTAATTATTTGTCTTGACATTTTTGGCAAACTGAATTAATGCATCAAACGTAAATGCAAAACAAAAATATTTTATATAGATCTTATATACTAAACTTCATATAAACCTGAAAATACATAAAATACTGATGTACTAGATACAAAAAAAATTAATAATAAAAAAACTATTACTTAAACAAGAAAAACTACATTACTACTCCATTATTCTACACCTACACTATGTTATTACTATAGTATTTCTACCTGCAGCTACATAACTAAACTGTGATGGCGGATAAAGCAGAGAAATACTATGGATAAGTTCCGCACGTTTATTAGTGGTCGCCAATAATATATCAACAATAATACAGTGACTTACAGAGGATTGGTAAACACGTCTGAACGGGTCGACAATCAGCAATCAGAGAGAGTGACGATTACGTCACAGCCCGCATCACTGCCGGGCACGTGGTCTGGAGGTTACTAGAGAAATCGTTCCCAGCCCCTCCGAGACCACTACATTCCTCCCCATTTTGAAAGAGGGCGTCCCAGCCCGTAAAGTAAATACAATGGGACAAACTATAATATACAAATAATAGTAATAATTAACACCTAGCAGGGCCTATCTTACATACATACACATGCATTCACACAATAATAAAACTTTAAACATTAATGTCTCTATAATAATAAAAATCACAGATTGAACAGTTCCTATCACACAGTCACTCATCCTCCGCGTCGTCTCGGAACACCACGAGGTCCATCGTTGTTAACATCCACCAAGTGGTCCATCGTTGATACGTCTGGATAGGCTCTGCTTGGTACATCAAAGGCGACATCTATAGTGCGGCTGGTTCCGGCCATCAGGACTATCTGCTCCCGATGCAGGCAAACTCAGGTAAGTACATCCGGGCATCACTCCCCGGCTACAGCGTAAGTATTTACAACGACCCCCTCAACTGAGGCCCAAAGAACACCCTGAAGTTCCTAAAAACCAGGCCCGCTAGCAAGGCGACGTCCTGTCCCCTCGCTGCGGCTACTCTGCGGTACACTTCTCCGATGTGCCTGGGGCCCATCGGCGCTTCAACTCCACAAGGAAACTCAGGACTATCCGACTCGACTAGCAGTCGGTCGGTAGGAATAGCTCTGACTCCCGACAACTGAGTCGCGGACATATCCGCGATCTGACCTCCGATTCCAAAGAATACGGGCCTGCCAGACTCCACCCAGAGCTTCACCTGCTCTGGTCCTCCAGTGAAACCACGGATAAAGATAGGTACTAGGATGGGAACAAACATCCCGTCCATAAGGGTAAGGCAATCTTGAGTAGGAACGCGGCCCAAAGGGTCGTCCGCTGTCCCCCTCACAACCAATATCATCCCGGTACTGAACGTGGCCTGGCGGAAGAACTCCGCCAGCACAAACCTCTGAGTGGCCGGACTGGAGTAATCCAGTCCAATCTCCCCTATCACAAGGTTCCTGCTCCTACACTCTCCCACAACACGGGCTACATCTGACTGCAGAACGAAGTCCGCAGACCCAGGGGAAATCCCCTGAGCTACCACCCACTGCGGATTGCCTAAGTCCGAGAGGGGCTCCTCTCGGAAACCATACGCTACACATCTCTGCTAGGCGGAGCTTCCGCCCTCAAAGACAAACTCATCAACTTCCTTAGACATCACTTACGAACCTACAAAGACATGTAAGTTTATCAATCCTATGTCTACTTACTAACTAATTCGTGTACAAGTCTACCTAAACCTGATGTTAACCTACTAAAACTTGCACACGCCCCCGCATCACTGCGGAAACCTAACTACTCTAACTACCCAGTGTCGACTCCGACGGGACTACATTCGGGGCAGATATATTGAGGTACAGATTTAGCATAATCCTCACTTATACCCACACACCCTGGGTGAAACCAGTCCCGACAGTTGTCGCACTGCACCATCATTCCCTTGGGATTAGACTGTAAGCAAACACAATATTCCTTGGTTTTAGTCCCCCTAGTGGCTCTAGGTCTCTTCGGCGATTGGGATTGTTTATTCTGGTCTAATCTTTCCCTAACCCGCTTACGAGTACCCATATATGGACCTAATGACTCCGCTGGTTTGGGGCTAACTGTTGATTGACCCCCACTCCCCGGGCTCTCAGGACTAATTCCTGAGTCTGCGGTTCCCAGCGGTGCAACCACATCATGTATAGGAGAACTATCCCCATCTCGGGCTACTGACTGTCCGGGCAACTTATTTTTATAGTTTACTAACCATTTGGGGAGTTGCCTGGACTCGCACCTTTTAAGCCTGTCATGGTGCATAACCTTGACCTGTCGCCGAGATTTTACAACAGATACTGTGTCCGATTTGGTCTCTATTACCATCCCAGGACCCCTCCATACTGACTACCTTTTTTCCCACATTGCGGCGCCAGTAGACCAAGTCTCCGACCTTAAACTTACTGGTACGGACCTTAATGTCATGAGACCTTTTCATTGCCTTTTGCGCGACTTTTAGTTTTCCGCGGGCAATATCGTGCGCTCTCTGAACATTGTCTTCTAGATCACGTACATACTTGTCGACCTCACCCTCCTCCCCATTTTGAAAAGACGTGGAAGGCGGTGGGGCGAACATCAAGGTTGCTGGTATATTTACTTCTCTACCCAGCATGAGACGATTTGGAGTGTATCCAGTATGGCGGTTTACCGCGGACCGCAACGCTCCAGCCAATGGGCCTAAGTACTTATCCCATGACTTGGGCTGGCCATCTACGTAGCAACGAACCGCGTCCATGAGAGTGCGGTTGTAGCGCTCTACCTGGCCATTCCCTGACGGACGGTAGGGTGTGGTCCTGGCCTTATGGATCCCTAACATGGCGCAAATCTTACAGAACAGCTCACTTTCGAAGTTACGGCCCTGATCTGTAAAGATTTCGTAAGGATAGCCAAATCGAGAAAAGAAGTCATTGATAGCGGAACGGGCGGTAACTTCCGCTGTCTGAGACGGAAGCGGAATACACTCTACCCACTTGGTAAAGTTATCTACCATCATGAGTATGTATTCGTTCCCGCTATCAGTTCGGGGAAGCGGCCCGAGAAAGTCTAAATGTACCCTCTCCATCGGGCTTCCCGCTTGGTAGCTCTTGAGCTCTGACCTGTTTGGCAACGAACCACGCTTATTCCTGGCACATACGTCGCAGGTCTTGACATATAATTTAATGTCTTTTGTCATCCGCCACCAGTAGAACGGTTGTTTAAGGCGTTCTTTAGTTCTCTGGATTCCCTGGTGACCAGAGGACGGTATGTCATGACATAAGTGCATGATCTCGGATCTGAGACTCCGCGGCACTAGGAGCCGACGGGGCGCATCCGAGTCATCCGGTTCTCGCCAAACTACTCCTGTTTCGTCGAGATAAAAGCAGTCTCGCTCCAGAAGATAGCACTTCTCTTCCGGACTACAGATAATTAAGTCACTTTCGGTAGGTAGGTCCCCAGACTCTAAGTACTGTCTCAGGTATACTATAGCTTTGTCATTTTTCTGTTTCTGTGCTAGGTCTGCGGAACTGTATGAAGATAAGGAAATTCCCGCAGTGTCACCTGTTACCTGACAGACTTGAGGACTAACTGTCTCAATCTTGGGATTTAAGCTCGACACCCCACTGACATTAATCTGGAAACTGGGGAGTGCAGACGCACTCACAGTCGAGGGAGTGTCTTCCCAAGGACTGGAAACAATGGCCTGACGAAGGGTAGGATCTAATGAACCACAACTACCCCCCTCAGCGGACGGACTCTCCGCTGGCACAGGCGTCTCGTCAAAGAGTTGGGACAAAGGAATTACATCGTCTATTTCAGTGTTAAAGTCATGCCAGCGCTCGTGGGCTCGGCGGCAATAACGGCATCCGCCGCAGGGCAAGTCTTCGACCCTAATTCTCGTCGAGTACCCCTGGCATGAATCAGGTATGTCCCGGGACAGAGCGTCAGCATTCACATGCTTCTTTCCCGGGCGATGTACGATCCGCATGTTGTACTGGCTCAGTTCCTCGAGCCATCGAGCAATCTGGTTCTGCGGATGCTTGAAATTCATCAGCCAGACCAGGCTATGATGATCGGTCCTGACTGTGAACTCACGACCCAGCAGGTAATGGCGGAATTGTCTGGTAAACTTAATTACCGCCAATAGCTCTTTACGAGTTGTACAATATCTGCGCTGTTCTGCGGATAGCACAGCACTCCCATACCCAATGGTTCTTTCTTTGCCATCCTGGACTTGGCTTAATTCTCCGCCTACGGCATAGTCCGAGGCGTCAGTGTCCAGGATGAAATGACCTGTACTGTTCGGTATGGCTAGAACTGGAGGATTGGTCATTAACTGAATAAGTTCCTGAAAAGCACTCTGCTGCTCTTCACCCCACCGGAAACCACTTTTTCCGGTAACCGCATACAGCGGAGCCGCAATTCTGGAGAAGTGGGGGATAAAACTGCGATGATAATTGGCGAAGCCAAGGAAGCGCTCTACGCCCTTAACATCACATGGAACTGGCCAGTCACGCACTGACTCGACGTACTGGTCCCCCATCTCAACTCCGTGCTCGCTCACGGTTCTACCAAGGAACTCAACCTTAGTCTTAAATAGCTCGCATTTCCGAGGCTTAAATTTAAGGCCATATGCTCGGAACCGCTCAAACACTTGTCTTAGGTTATCAAGGTGAGCGTGTGCGGTAGATCCTAGGACTAAGACATCGTCTAGGAAGGCTAAGGCTATCTTCCAGTTGAGTCTGTGTAACACCAAATTTATGGCCCTGGCGAAGGTGGCAGGGGCGTTACACAAACCAAACCCCATTCTAGTGAATTCAAATAACCCATATTTTGTGATAAAGGCAGTCTTTTTCCGGTCTTCCGGAGCTATCTTAACCTGCCAGTAAGCCGCATTAGCGTCCAACTTGGAGAACCAGCGGTTTCCCGCTAGCGTATCCATGCACTCCTCGATGAGTGGCAGAGGGTACGTGTCCTTAACTGTCACCTTATTCAGGGCTCTGTAGTCCACGCACCAGCGGACGCTGCCATCCTTCTTCCGGACCAGCACTGGGGCAGACGCCCAGTCTGAGGAAGATGGCTGGATGACTCCGGCTTTCAACATCTTATCGAGATGACCCTCTTCTTCCCCTTGAAAAACAGCGGGGGTGCGTCGCATCCGCTGCTTCACAGGAGACGCATTTCCGGTGTCTATTCGGTGTTCGATCTCGGAAAAACTTCCGAGATCAAGGTCATCAGTGGCAAAGACGTCGGCAAACTTTTTGACTAGCTCCGCTGCCTCGGATCTGACTTCCACAGGCGCGGTCTTATTTAACTGCTCTAAGAGTGGGGCAATATGGTCATAAGTCTTATCCCCCTCAAAGCTTACACGACGCACTGTGGGCTTAGTGTCATTGACTAGATCGGCAGGGACTGCTTTCCCCACCTTAGTACCTGTCTTAACAATATGACTTCGGTCTGTCATGTTTAAAATACACAGCTTGGCTCTGTTTCCTGCAGTGTTGTATGTCCGCGAAGCTATTATACCAGGCGGAAATATACTGGCTGGCTCCAGCATAAACTCTGGCATATCGGAACTAAGGGTACTCTCGATGATCTGAGCAGTGTGCGGGGGAATCCGCACCCTGCGGACTGAAACCGCATCGAGTACTGGTACTGACTCATCAACACTCATAGCAAATATAGTGTCGATGCCCTTAACCCTTAAAGTACCGGCTTCACAAGAAATCTCTACACCATGCTTACGCAGGAAATCTATGCCTAAGAGCATCTCGTCCTGCAGAGAACCAACATAGATCGGGTGTGCAAAGTCATAATCCCCGATGCGTATGTTAAGACAACCGAGGTACTGAGCGGTCATACCAGCTCCCTCGCCAGCCAACCTAACATTAGTGTCACTTAACACTTCGGGCTGCGGCCTCAAAGATTTATAAACGTCACTAGATATTATTGATATGTCGGCTGCGGTATCGATTGTCGCCCGCACCTGTTGGCCTCCAATCTGTATCGGAATCCGCCAAGCTCCTGAACCCATGACTTGACTACCAGACCTGACAGATGGTATCACATAAGTCGCTTTGACATCCGGTTCAGTGAACTTAACTTTAGTCTCATGTTTCGATGTGCGATGTCTGTCCTCGTCCTCGCTATTTACTGACTTAAGGCAAGGCTTAGGGGACCCCGATCTACGCCGTCGCTGGCGGATCGGGCAATCGCGTAAGAAGTGTCCTGGCTCCTGACACTCAAAGCACACAACGGGCTTCGTCGCGCTAGAGCGGCCCCTACTCGGTGACGGATCCCTCGAGGATCCTCGCTCGGGACTGGATCTTCGGGTGCGGTCCTCCG